CTTTTTTTAAAATTGGAACAAACCGAGGCCACCTTTTTAAAATTTGATTTTTTTTGTTTCAAGGGACAAGTTTTGCCTTTGAAAAACTTTCACAAAAACATTATTTGGCTATACAAAAATATACATATATTTCCACTTTGGATGTAAAATTTTCATCAAGGTGTAATGGAATCTGCAGCTGAGGCTGCACTAGAGGTGACATAAAGAGTTACAGATAGATGAGGATGAGTAATCTGGGTTACCACTGGGTAAACCAAAGCCAAAGACAAGGAACCTTAGTCACAGACTCATAGAATCATAGAATGGCCTGGGTTGAAAAGGACCTTAAAGATCATCTAGTTTCAACCCCCCTGCTGTGGGCAGGGTTGCCAACCACTAGAGCAGGCTGCCCAGAGCCCCATCCAGCCTGGCCCTGAATGCCTGAAGGGCAGTCCTCTTCCTACCCCAGCCTGAGGCCACTAACACCAGCCCTAAGCTCAAAAGCTTTGTGTAACCCAAATCCAAGACCACTTACAGAATAGTGATGGCAGGAGAAAAGATTGAGTCAAAACCCAAGCGCAGGCACTCTGGGGTCACCCAGCAGTGTCCCTCATCAAAGACGAGAAACATCATAATAACTCAAAATAGTTAGATGTAGTTTCATTTTCCTGTTCAAAAAAGCCTTAGTAAATTTGGCAGAATAATTCTTTCAGCACTAGTTTGAGGCAAGGAAGGAAGAAACTGTTCTCACTTCACAGAAGTAAAAGCCAGCAAAAGACCATGGCAGGATCATTACTAGAAGCATTAGAAATTATCTCAGCAGTTTTGAGACAGACATTTCCAGGTCCCTCCCAATAAAATAGGCCAAGCAGGAGGAACATTATGCCACTACTCACCCCGTATCATCCATGTGCTTGTGGGAAAAAGCCAGGATATCTGCAGCTCTGCCAGTGCCCTCATAGACCACCACGGGGACAGCTGGGCTGGCCCTCACGTACTCCCACACCATTAGGATCACATTGGGGCCTCCTTCCACCACCAACCCAACTACAGGTACACCTTGGCCCGTTCCTGTTTCAAAACACACCTGACCAGTTACAAACAGGTCTCAGTCACACAAAAAAGTCAGAACATTGGGTAAATAAACACTCATGAAGGAGCCTCACACATTGTTCAATGGGGAGGAAGTCATGCCTTCATCACCTCTAATATGACTTACACTTTTTATGACTTCTACAAAACTTCTGCAACCAGATCAAAAAGACCATGAAAACCTCCTGATGAAATTGTAAGCAGCCCTAGCATTGGGAAGAACAAACATCCCTCAGACTGTGCCTCTGCCCTTTATGATAGCTCTCATAAGGATGCAAGGATGTTGATGACATTTGAAATGCAGTCAATATCCATTTGTTTACCTACAAAAATATAGAAAAGTAATCAGGTGCTTCTTTACAGACTTTTTCAAGTTTTACAGCAGCAGGGTGTTTTTTTTAATGATCAGAAATAAATTTCAAAGAAGATGCAACAGAAATGGAAAACTAACAGAAAGTCTGACTTGAAAAAAACAGATAATAAGAAAATATACCAGAGGTTGAGTAAGAAGCTGTAAATATGAACACACTAAAAATTGGGTAAGTTTCTAAGTTTGTAAATACCATAATGTGAGCAGATAAAGGAAGCAAAGATTCAACAATGTAACCCTGATAATGACTTTTCAACATACCTCAAGATTTAAATTACAAGGTAAGAGTGAACTTCCACAAATAATTTATACAAACTAGTACATAAATACTTGTCTATGTAATAAAAACTTCATTCCTGATTTCTGTACCATAATCCCATTAGTGTATAGGGAAACAATAGAAGTTATGCAAACCGACAAATAAAACATTGTCTGCAACAAAGACTTTTTCAACCAGTCTTTGTTTCTGTATTTGAGAAGGTCACAGGCTTGCAATGTAGAAGAGTGATGAGGATAAAAGTAATGAACAGGGGAAGAAGGATTGAAATTCCACTGAATGAGAAAATTTTTCCACCTAGCAAAATGCTGAGAAACTATCGAGTGCTGATACAGAGACCACACAAAACTGCAAAGTGAGAAAATACTCAATACTTACTAAGTAATCTGAGTGATTTAGATGCCTCTACATCTGAGAAACCAAAATACAAGTTAGGCCAAATAAATAATGCTTTATGAAAAACTGCCCTTTTCATTTCCTGATACTCAAGACTTCAAGCACCTCCAAACTCTTAGGATAGGTTTTTCTGTCATAAAGCTGACCACAGCAGTACTCACTTGTGTGTATTTTTTGAAGGGATATGTGCTTCTCCAAATTCCTCCTAAGCATCATTTCATTCCCATACTTGCCTACTGTGCCATCATCTGCCATCAGAAAATGAGAATGCATGCTGTTGAGGGTACTCAACTTGCTGAGTGGATTACCAAGAGTCTGGTACAGGCAAACTACCTAAGAAAAACAAAACAATAAAAAGATCTTCAAATAAACTGATAAAACACCACCCTTTATGTTTCCTCACTTCTATGTATTTCTTCATCATATTGTGATCTTCTGAAAGCTGCCGTCACGCTTTTTGCTCCTCTACTCGAACATGGGTTTTCACTTGAATCTTAACAACATAACCACAATTAATACCACAGAAAGCACCTCTGGTTAGGCTTGCAGTCCTTAGTCAAAGTCACTGCCTGCTTTTCTTTCCAACAGTTGAAACACAATGGCTCATTTTTCCTGGGTGTATTCATGTGAGCTATCACTTATAAGGAATGATTTCACCTTACTTGTCAAGTATTCTTAAAAGGTTTTGTAGATTGTGCCCTCACACTGGCACTCACATAAAGTTCTAGTTTATGAATAAAAACTACATAATAGCTTATTTGTGTACATTATTAACCTGATTGCTCATCCTGAACTACATGAATATAGAAATACATCATTTGCAATCATAAGAGAATTGCCTAATTAATTAAAAAATTTCAAAAAGGAATGGCAATTTCCTGTAAGAGAAATTTTTTAAACTATTCTTTTACGTACAAAAAGCAAAATACAATGTCTGAACACGCCACTGAATCCTACTGCTGAGCAAAATCTAAGCCTGTGTGACGAGAAAAAATACCAAACCAGTGAAATGAAGCAAGCAGGAAATAAAGTATGCAAGAAAGCTATAACATCCCCTGAACATTAAGGTTTTTATTATTAAAATGTGTCCAACTCACATCTTTTCCAATTAGATCCCTCTGGTTCTCAATGATACCCCAAGGAGGAATCCCAACAGCACAGATCTTTCTCAGGTGTGGTGAGGCACGGCCTTTCAGTGCATCCCCCACGTGTCTGGACACTCCTAAACAGACAATTAAATCATCATTTTTCTTCTACATTCAGAGACCTGCTACAGGACACCAATTAAAGGGTTTCCCATAATTTAATTTATTCTATGGTTATGTTTTAACCAGAAGTAAACCGTCCCACATACCTTGTATATTTGACATGCACTGCAGGAACCAATAATGTACCAATGCTTTAAACTCAACACATATGTGTAATTAATAATATCTGTAACTAATAATACTCCTGTATGGTGCTAATGGTGCTTTGTACCTCCATAAAAAATTTATTATTTACATAAATGCACAAAACAGTTCTCCTGTAAGATCACCAGACTGAATAAAAGCTAAAGAAGAAGTTTCACTTCCGTGGCTTACTGACCCCCCAGTTTTTAAGAGTAGTCTACAGGGAGTTTCAGATACTAATGGATGATCATAACTCAAGACTTTCTTAACTATAAAACACAAGTTAAATTTGGATTTGAAAACTGTTTCAAAAACACCAATCATAGTCCTCAGAACCTAAATATTTTAATGAAGCAGAAAAAATTGACTGCAAATAAGTTCTGGTTATCTACTACCAGTGTTTCTTATTACATGAAGAACATTATGCTCTTTAATTAAAAAAAAATATTCAAAATATTCAGACTGCCTGTCAACAACAGAGGAATGTGATGTTACTCTTTGAACTACGCATTCTTCCTTAAAAACAAAAGCTCCATTTTATACTAACGTGTCACAAATGATCAAACAATTTAATTGCATTTGCCCTAAATGTATATGTTCATATGCAGAGAAAGAACATCAGAGGAGACTGAAACAAAGAAAAATAATTACACTACCACTGTTGATGCCTTCTGTAATTATCCATGCTCCTGTAGTCTCAGCAGCCTTCACCAATCCTTTGCTGAAAACCTGCTTGACCTTTGAGGGAAGCTTGAAATTTTGAATGCCTCCATGAACAGAGATCACTAGCTTTGGCAACTCCATCTGCCATTCTTTAACCATCAGGTGCAATAGTTGATCCAAATTGCTATCATAAGAGAGTCTAACATACTGGAAGAAATAATAGTGGTTAAAATAAGCATCCTCCAAGAGAAGAAATTGTAACATCTTACAAAGTTCTCAGCATTAAAGAGTTAAAGATTTTGTGCAGAACTTTCATAATACTGTTAACATGACAGCACAAAAAGACATCAGTGAGCAATACAGACAGCAAGACAGATTATGCTTCATCGTGGTGAAGTTCAATGAAAAATATCACACTCAAACCCTAATCTGACCTACTTTTACATTCCCCAGCTTTCTTAAAACAAACAATCTGATATTCATCCAAAACTACTTTTTGTCTTTCTTATGCTGAAATTATAAAAAGCAGTTGGACATATAAAGCCAGCATCTATTACCTTAGCATGGTAAGTGTGATCTCCATCTTGAAAATTGATTGTACCAAATGCATCCGTTGGACTCGTCTTTGTGTGTTTTTGCACAGACCATTCTCCATCTTCTCTCTGTGGGGCAGCCTGATAAACAGGCAAGCTACACTCTACTCCTGGGTGATCTTCAATCAGCCGTCCACAGCAACATCTCACATTAAAAATAAATTATTTTACATCAAACACACTTGCATACAACTCCAGGATCTTCATCAGAATAGTCCAAGTAGCTTTTTTTTTTTTGCAAAGAACAATCTCATAGCTTCCTGACACAGAATATAATAAAACTAACTCAGTGGAAAAAATCTCAACAATGGCAAAATGACATTAAATCATAATCATAAAATCATAAATATATTTTGTTGGATGTAAAATTTGTCCTCTACCTGAGGAACACTAGTAAGAGTTGGGGGGTTGGACCAGATGATCTTCAAAGGTTCCTTCCAACCCAAACCATGCTGTGGTTCTATGTGACACTGTAACAGCTTGCGAGCCCCATATAGCAATTCTGACCTGAGCAATGCAGCTCAGATTAACTGGTCTCATATGTGAGATTTCAGAGGAGTATCTTAGGACACCAAGGTTTGCTATGGTTATTACCACAGGTTATTCTAGGTACTGAAGAAAGATCTAGGAGATACCACCATTAATCAGGAGGAGAGGAGCAACTCTTAGTCTAGAGAGAACTTCAGGGTGACCTTTATACTAACCCTTGGACACCAGCAAAGTGAATATACAAAATATATAGAAGTGTAATGTTAAGGGAAATCTAGCAGAAGCTCAGCTAGTACTAAACACTTGCAACTGGACAAATAACCCAGATTCCAAATTCAATCAGCATTACTGTCATACAGGCTTCAACAGGCTCATTTCTTCTACAGCATTCAATGTAGAAGAAATGAGCAAAACTTCAGTGTAATTTATAGTGACATCTGACAGACCAGTTTTCCTTTAGACATTTCAGAAGTTAATATACCCTGAGAAATGGAGATAAATTCTTCCTTTTCAGTCTTTTAAGATACCAAACAGCCTCTAACAATCCAAACTCAATGGCTGCCTTGGGACTTAGATGTATTATGTGCGGATGTAGGGGCAGGTTAGATGTAAACAACATCTGCAAAACCCTGAAGAGGAACATTCAGAAAAAGAGAAGTTATTCAAATTCAATTAATAACTACTAAATGGAGTTTTTCTACTTAGTATTAGTAAATAGTTGCATAAACTAGCCATCAAGTACATTCACATCACTTTTGAACTGTTGTGGAAAATCACAGATCTCAGGAGGCCCAAAACGTGTTTAATTGCTGACCTAATAAATACAACATAATCACAAACTCACAAAAATTATTTTCCCCTTGTTAGGAACAGAAAAATTCTCCTAGAACAAAGCTGCGTGTACATCTTAAGATATACAAGATGACAAGAAGAGGAAACATTTGGGAAAATGTTGTTGCAAAATAATGGCTGACTGAGCCGAACATCAGACAGCCCCGCACATTCTATATATATACAGACAGACCGACAAATAGGATTCATATTAATTTAAACAGAAGGAAAATGCTCAACAAAACATGAAAGAAACAATTACATGATAAAAACCACAAAGGTATGGGATGTCTTTACAGAAAAAGGTGAAAGAAAAAAAACCAAACCCACCTTACGGGGTGCATATTTCTAGTTTCTCTTCTTCCCTCTCCCACTGCAGTATTCCCATTCATTCAGCTAAACTGTTTGATTAGGAGGCTGATTTGGTGCAAAGCTGATCTTGGTTTGGTTTTCTACTTCCCCAGGTTAATTTTCATACCAATGAGCTTCCCAAACCAAACAACAGTCACTCGGTGGGTTGGGGGGGGCCAGGGAAGAGAGAGGACTGCAGAACTGCTGTCATCTTGATCAGACAGGATTATAGCACTCTATTTTGAAGTAAAAATTAACTTCAGCTTGGATACCCATCTGGGTATCTGCAGGTTATCAGGAAGCATTAAAGTCCTCCCTGCATTTCCACTTCCAGATCACCTGCAAAAATCTCTGAATTCTTCTGACACTTGCCTCAGAGGGAGTTGACCCTTTCTGAACAGATGTTGCATAGATCATTTGGCTTACAAGCCCTTCACCATTCTGTATATGAGCCCTTATAGTGATCTGGTTTCAAGGAGTAGTTTTGGTTTTTTTTGGAAAATGTGTCTCTTGTTTAACATACATCTTAGAAGCAAAATAAAATGTGAAAAAATGAAAAAGCAAACAATCATGCTCATGCAGGTGAAAACAACTAGTTAGTAACAGCTTGTTAGTCACTAGTTATCAGAACTTCATTGTTTTCTGTTGCTTCAGGGGCCTTTAACACAAAACAAATGTCAAGGCAAGTTAAAATTTTTATTCCAACAGCTGATAATCTGTTATCATAAACATACAATATCCAAACCTGTTTGGGAACACCAGCTGAACAAAAAAGGTTGGACTGAAAATAACTAATGAATACAAGCCAGAAAATACTGTCTGGAAAACCCACACATGAGTTAAAAGCATCAAAGTGATGTAATTTTTGTTGCTTGCCTTCCCAAAAGAAGGGACTCAGAATGCCCAGTGCAGAGAAGATGAAAAAATCTTCAGAAAACCTATCATCATAGATGTTTCTACTACTCTCTTTCTTCTCCCTTTATTTTGTTCTTCCTCTTTCCATAGTTGTTACTGTTCTCCATTGCTTTCAGCTCACTCTCCTTCATATCACTCAAGATATAACTAGAATCGTCTCCCAGTTAAAGACACATTCCTGCCTTTCATTCCTCAGGAAAAGGAGACGACAAACACATCCACACAAAGTATTTGGACAAAAAATTTCTATTGCAAATAAAGGTTATAATACAATTTATTTTATCCAGATTTATGCTAAACATTCTCCAGCACACCCCCAGAAATGCTACTCTGACAGTATAAGAGGAAAGGTATTTTTGTTGTCATTACTTCCTTGACTAGGAAAGCCTATCACTAACTCTAGGTCATTAGAAAAATACTAGATATATATTTATGCCCTCTTACCTGATTAAATTCTGACACACCTGGCATCCTGCAGGGCACCTGTGATAAAAGATGGATAATTAACACATGCTTGTATAAACCAAAATATCTGTGACGGTATTCACAAAGTATTAATTCACCTATGAAAAAATTCTCATCAACATTAAAGGTTGTGTTCTTCTGCACTCACCCCTGGAAAATTATTCTGATTCTTTCTAAATGTAACAGAAAAATAGTGAAATTCATTGTTTTACCTGTGAGGATCTTTTGAACTGGGAATGATGTGTGCACATTCTCTTTTACTGAAGACCCCTTCGATCCAAGATTTGGTTGACTGAAAAGACATTTATAATTTAATTGTATTCCTGAACTTAAGAACATAATGCCAAAAATTGCACTATAACGTCTACATGGACGTATATGCACAACACATCACTCAGAATGATTCCCATTATGAGGTTAGATGAAACCCAACATTCAAGCTACAGCTGTGAACAGTCCTAGCCTTTCACCCCTAAGCTTTACATAGCTCCACAGAAAGATCAATATTAAAATTTATCCCCACCCTTCACTAATAAACATCAACATTACTTAGAGGATCTGTCAAACACATGTACAACAGAGGAAGTGGTAAGCATTAATCAGAACTGCTTAAAGGACCGCATTTTCTTTCTGCCAGAAGACTCACAAATGGCAATCTTACTAAAGCTGTAAGAGTCAAAAAGGAAGTATTTTCTTTTTACCTGAAAGACACAGTTGATTCCTTATTTTATTATTCTTAACAAAGTTAAGACTAGATTCATCCTGGTTATATGTTTGCTGAGCTAGGACTACAGTGAAATGCAAAAGAGGGGACTGAAGCACTTAGAATGCACTTAGCACTAGACCTAGCACTTAGAATGCATACCAGGTGTATTTTTTTCCACTGGCCTCCTGCGACACTGAAAACTGACTCAGTGAAGTTTGCTGCTGATGACTAAACCGAATAATCACTGTGGTACACAGATTTTTTTCAAAGAATCTCACTGGGATTCTTTGATCTGCTTTGTCTGCAGGTCTATCAGGATCAAATTCACTGAAAGGAATTATAGTTTTTGGTATTATAGTATTGTTTCATGCTTCCTAAACCATTTTATTCTATTTGTTTCACCTAGCAAGTGAAACAGCGAAATGTTTCTAATACTACAATACGCTGGGACTCTGATTTTTCTGAAACCCATTACTATTTTTATTTATTGGTTTTCAGTCAGAACTAGGGAACAAAAATCTTTTTTATGTTATGAGATGCCTTGGATAAGAATGAACATTTACTAAACTTTTCATTAACAGGAAAGGGTGTGACAGAATGGCCAAGAGGTTGGCAAGCCTTACAGCATTTGCTGAAGCAACATGCTCAGCCTTGTGAGAGAAGAACAACATCCAACTGCTGTCACTTTAATTTAGTGAGAGCACTACTAGTTCAAAGTAATTTTGAGCAAGCTGTTGGCATCGCACAATCTCAGGTAGCTTCCCTTGAGCTACTTTACGTCCAGCATGACATATTCTGGAAATCAAGCGTTATCTGGGCATCTTTCCAGGTGTGAAGGCCAGCACTGGAGATATACAGCCCAGTGGCACCAGCAGCAAAACACGCTGCCAGATCAGCAAGGCATTAGCACTCAGCTAATCTATATGTGAATACACTTGAGAAGGCGTGTCAAAGAAGTTTTTATATCCAAAGCTCAGTGTTCCTCATCATAAAGTTACACAACATAAGATAAACCACAAATCAATAATTTTAAAGGGGGGAGAGGTGGCAATGGCAATATACTGTGCGAGTTGAAGTTACATAATCTAATATGGGAGATGAAAAGGCTTCTCTGCTGTCAGCTTTTTGAACATCTAAGCTCCCTCCTAAAAAAAACCTTACCTTGTTTTAAAAAAATATCTTTTTTTAGATTTTGGAGGGTGGATGGGGGTTAAGAAAAAAATACCAATACTTAAAATTCCGGATGCTTTCCACATCCTTTTTCAATCTGATTCAAAAGCACCCGTGTTTTTCTGCAACTGAGGCAGTAAGGGCAGTCATCAACACACAACGGAGCTGATCCGGCCACTCTAGTCACAATGGATCAAGCTCAAGTTCCAACAAAGCCAGTGGAAAAAAAAAACCTGTAGCTTTGGATCACATGCCATCAGTCTAACCTTGCTACTGTCGAGGTCATTGACAAAATTCCCATTTATTTCAGATGAACAAGATCACTACAGAATTTATTTGACCTTGGAATTTCAAAGCACCAAGGATGCACCTCACCCAGAGGCACAGAGACTCCCTTAGCAGTACACATCTCAGTTAACTCCACTTCAGGATTCTGAGTAAATGGAACTGAAAACATTGCAAAGTGCAATTGATACAATACCAGGAACTTACGCCCTGTCCTGCAAAGAAACGTAATGTCTTCCCATACAGGTATTTCAACATCAATCTTTGTTGATTTACCTAAAGTGTTTGCTGGAGTGTTATCTATTCTGCGCTCTTTCACCTCCTTGCTTTCTGTAATTTTTACATTTCAAAAATCAGTACTTAGATAGCATATCATCTGTATATGATCCTGATGAAGCCTGTAAATTTAACATTTTCATCTCAAAAGGTAAATACGTGAATATAGCAAAAAACATCATTTGCAAAGTCTACCACTTTTTTCTTTAATTAAGTTCCTGAACAGGTGGCACTACTAAAATACATATATAGAGAGAGATTACAATCAATCATAAAAAAAGACTATATCACTGTATTTCATCTTGTAAAGTGCAAATTTCAAAACTGAAACACTGCGAGATGCATCACATCTATCACTATTCTTAATTTTATACAAGGTGAAATCTGCACTTAGTATCCAAAATTTACAATGTAACAATAACATTAATTTCTTAAAACAAGGCTTTACTTAGGTTTCTGACTTAATTGTACAATCAGGAAAAGGGTTTTAAACCTTCATGCTTTTTACAGTCTTCAGGGCTAGGCAAGTAAAAAATGAAAAGAGGAAACTTCTGAACAGCTGTTTGCTCTTGCTTCCTAGCTTTGTAAAGACCTATGCAGTACGTTTATCTCCTCTCACAGAATTCTGGCTATATTTCAAAACTGTCTTCCTTTCATTAAACTTCAACAACAAACTAAAATTTCCCCTGTCACTACAGTGAGGTACATACCAGCATCAACCTGTATCCTTTCTACAACCAAACCCTAAAGGAAACAAAAATATACCTACATGTTCCTTCTAACTGGCAAATTTCTGTTCTGATATACAGAATACCTGAAGCCAAGTTCATATTTCAATTTTCCTTCCAAAAAGTCCTGAGACCTTTGTTTGGGAATTTTGCCTTATCGTTCTCACCAGTTTGAGGATTAGGATTGCTGCTTATGCCTCCCTGCCACAGAAGAGTCTTTACAAACTTCTAGACTGATTTAATCAATGGAGTGTCAAGAGTTTGGCTCTGAAATTTAAGGCACGTGAGTAGTTTTTAGAAAATTATTTTTAACCACTTTTCCAATATCTCTGATGTCTAAGATCCTTTCATAACGTGCTATTAAAGGGAAACTGTCAGGTCAAATTTGGTTAAACCTAAGTAACGTCCAAAAATTAACGTTTCCAGAAGAAAGAGATCAGAGCACAAAATTTAGAGAAACACCTGCACCACTCATTTCTTTCAAATACTCACGGGGGAGTGAGAGCAGGCAAAATGCAAAAACCCAGCCTAGCACAGAGGTGATCTGTCCTCCAAAATCCAGGGGTGCCATCAGAGAGGTGCGTGACTGTGCCACTGTCCCATTGGGGTCACCGAGCAGGTACACAGTGCATGGCTCACCAGCCTCAGAGGACAGGGCAATGTAGCCCTGCAATCACCTGCCATACTAGTGCCCACACTGATTTCACCACCCACCCATCCAGCACTAACAAGTGAATGCTTCAATTTTTGCTGCTACTTTCTCCTACCTCAACCCATCCCACCAGCTCATAAAGGATTTGCCAGAGCCAAAGCCTTTAGATGTGCTGCACCAATTAAACACCACTAAGTAAGGCTTAATGTGCCTTTGTCCTGCTCCAGACTTAGCTTCACTAAACCAAGATCTAGAAGAAACACTCAGCACCTTCAAGACCAGACAACAGACAGCAATAATTTCTATCTTGCGTCTTAGCCAAAACACTACTTCAAGAGATAAAAAGTGGTGCCAAGCACCATACCTCAGCATTGCACACACAGTGTGTGTAGTGAATCCATTACACACAACCACTTTTCTATGTCACTTCTCAGGAATATGGGTTTTCCTAAAGATCTGAACTACCAGAGCCAATATTTTTGCATCGCTGAGCTGGTTTGGCAGAATCTCAGACAAAGAAAAAAAAGTACAATTACACATCACATAACTCTTTTTCCAGTCAAGAAATTATTTGTTACCCTCAAATGTATTAGATGAAAGCAAGTACTCGTTAAATAGCAACAGATAATCCTGGGACTAATAGATTTGTCTCAGGACATAGTATATTTACGTAGTACCTGTAAAGAACCTTTATAGCTGATGGCAAGAATTAGAAATACCCAAAAGAACCAAAACTGATTTTCACTGCCTGGGAAGGAGGGAGACACCATTTTTAGGTGAAAGAATACCTGTGAGGGGTCAGTGTAGGGCAGTGTGTGACCAACCCTTATTCAAATATACAGTGAGGGGAGGGAAAGAAAAGCTTCCTCTTATTACAGCCACTGCAAGAACTCGGTGTCTGTGTTCAGCACAGTGTCCTAAAATATGTTAAACCCTTTTAAAAATTAAATACACATAGAGCAAGCCACTTGCAAGAACATTAGATACCTGAAATGCAGCCAGAGTTTTGAAAGCCAACACTAAAGACTATTTCACAAGAGCTCAGCCTATAAGCACACTGGTATCTCTTGAACTCTTAACCCTGGGAACTCTTGCTGAGCTATAAAAGCTAAGGTGAACTTGCAGGTATAATCATTTTATGCATAATAATTCTTAAGTGAAAAACAGGACTTCAGCAGTATTTCTGCATCCCATGGTAACTGGTAAATTACTGGCAGCATTAAAGAGACTTCCAGCTTAACAGCCTCTCTTGCATAAGCTTGTCAGGCAGGAACTTTCTGGTTCAGCATCCATTACATGCATGCTTATGGTAGGAAGTAATGTAACAACTGATTGTAACAAAGAATACCACTTTGGATCCACATAGGGTAGAACTGCATTGTAAAACTCCAGGGTCACATGCAATAAAATATCAACCCAGTGTGAGGCCTTCAACAGACTCTCTGGTCTTCTAGAATTTCCTTGTGTTCAGGCTA